TTCACATTACACACACACACAGACACACACACACACACACGCATGCACACACAAGCACACGCACACACGTGCTTCCTACTTTAAATAACATGTAAAAGATGTATTTTCTCTATTTTACATACAGGTGAATCCTTGTTGGTTGGGGACTTGCAACCTTTAGAGAGGTCATGAGGTAAAATGGGTTTGCCAGGCAGGCTACAGATGAAAGAAGTCTGAAGTCCCCAAAGCAGCAGGATTGCAGTGGAGAATCACCAAGTGTCACAGCTCAAAGCTCTCCATGTTCTGGGGGTGCTAGCTAGCACAGAGGTACATGCGCGCACACACACTCACACACACGCACACACACTCACACACGCACACACACACACTCACACACACGCACACACACACTCACACACACGCACACACACACTCACACACACGCACACACACACTCACACACACACGCACACACACACTCACACACACACACACTCCCTATGGAGTTGGTCTGTGTATCAGCAACAGGAGCAGGGCTGGAGACTAGAGTCACAGGTCTCTGGTGACTGAGGCAGAAATGAATCCCTCTGCCTGCAGCTACTGGTCCTGTGGGTGGCTGGAGGGAGCTTCTGCCCCGGCAGAAACCTTGGGCCTGGGGAACTGAGTGGCCATGAGCCCGGCAGTTGGAACTCTAGGGGGACAGTCTCCAGTGGGAGCTGGAGCCTCACTCTGAGGTGTTTCTATCTTCTCCTGTGGCATTCCCAAGCAGCGATGTCTTTTCTTTTTTCTTTTTTTAACCATTTGAAAAGGTGGCCAGAGAGAGGGCTTGGCAGTTAAGAGCACTGGCTGATTTTCCAGAGAACAGGTTCAATTCCCAGAACCAGCATGGTGGCTCACAACTGTCTCTGACCCGGGTTCCAGAGAATGCAACAGCTTCTTCTGGCCTCCCTGGGTAACATGTGTGCATGTAGTACACAGACATATATGCAGGCAAACCGCTCATGTATATAAACTTCAGATAAAAATGAAAAACGAGTTAACATTTTTAAGAAGGCCCCAGCATTTAAAAGTCAAGAGGGTCATTTTGCACAAACTCTCCTAAACTAGGCATGGTGGTGTGTGTCTGCAGTCACAGAACTGGGGAGGCTGATGCAGGAGGACCATGAGTTCCAGGATAGCCCAGCAACTTAGCAAGATACTATCTCAAAAAATGAAAAGAAAAAGAAAAGAAGCAATAAACACCCCCCTACCACAGGTCTAGGCTTGCAGATTCTCTGGGCTTTGGGTCCAGTACCTTCCAGCCACAGCCCACTACTGCCTGTTAATCAGGCAGAAACTGGTAGTTGCCACAGTCTCCACCTTCCCTGGAGTCTCATGATGGTCCCCTCAATCGCAGAAGTCAAGAAGCCACGTGGACAGTTGGTGTTATCTCACCCCGTGTCTCCAGGCTGGACACTGTCCCTGTCAGACAGTGAGTGAGTGCCTTGGGGACAGACTCTGGGGGCCTTTCTTCCACATGACGCCAGCACACAGTAGGCCTGCAGGTCCTGGGATTCCATTAGATGCCTGCTGCTCACTAGGCTGAGTTCTCATGGCTACAGTAACTGGTGCAGCCCAACCCAGTCCCGGCTGGAATGTGGCAAGGATAACCAAGGCTGGCGTTTAAAAATACTGTGGAGTCTGGGAGGTGACACTCAGGGCTCAGACTGGCATGGACAGTGCCCAGTCCAGTTCCACAGACACCAGCTGGTGTTGGGACCAGTCTGTCTGGGATACGCCAGTACCCAGCATAGAAGCAGCAGCGGTGACATGGTCTGAAACGAATCAAAGCCAGCAGTCAGGTCTGGTGCTGGACCTCCCTGCAGTCCCCAAACCAAAGTCCCATAGCATAGGGTGCCAGAGCTGAGAGGCCTCCTAGCCATGTAGCCTTAGGAGCCAGAGTGTGCCCAGCCACCCAGAGTCATAGTTAAAAATAACCAGTGGGGACAGCAAGCCTGCAGTTGGGTTTGGAAGGAGCCAGAACTGACCCAGCTCCCACTGGGTGCCATGCACTTCAGAAGCATGAGCTCATGGGACTGTAATGGCCTTGGGGGGAGGGGAACTGTCCCAAATGGGGAAACTGAGACTCAGGAGCAGTGCTGCCTCTGTTCCTGGCCTCCAGTGCTCACCTGTGCCTATGGGGACATCCGCTGGGGACATTGGCACCTAAGGTGATACATGTCTGAGGAGGTGAACTAGATCCCTCCTGCTTCAGACAGCAAAGCCTGCTGGGGGAAGGCAATTCTAGGGAGGGGTGGAGTGAGAGGAGCTCAGCTGTAGAGGGGCCGTGTGCACAGGAGAAGGGAGGTAGGGGTAAGAGCCTTCCCATAGCATGGGTCCTGTCTCTGCGGTAGCGGGGAGCCAGGGGGAGTTCTGGGCAGAGTGAGGTATGGCTTGACCTGGTTTCTGAAGGCAGCTCTCTAGTGCATATGAAGAAGGCAAGGTTAGGGCTGGAGTCAGGCACAGGGTCACCTGTCACTTGCTTCTGGGCCACAGGTGACAGAAACCAAGAAACCTAGGCGGCTCCACAGTTCTGAGGAGTACTGGGGAAGCCTCCATCTTGAAAAGGCATCTAAGAGCACTCGATCGTTAGTGTGGGAAAGGGTGTGTGAGTGTGAGAGAGAGAACAAGAGTACGTGCATGTGCACGCATGATGTATGTGTGAATGATATATATGCACAGATGGTATGCCCATGGCATGTGTGTGTGTGCGCGTGTGTGTGTGTGCGCGCGCGCGCGCGCGTGTGTGTGTGTGTGTGTGTATGATGTGTGTGCACAATGCCTGTGTGTATGATGTGTGTGCATGTGTTTCACAGCACCCTTGTGGGGGATAACTCTGAGGAGCTGGTTCTCTCCTTCCACCCTGTGGGTTCCTGGGACCACACTCAGTCTGCCAAGCTTATACAGCAAGCACCTTGACCCACTGAGGCATTTCACCAGCCTGGGAGCCTTCATCTTGCCAAGCAGCCCGAGCAGAGGGGGTGCCCAGAATTCTTTCTCCACCTCCCAGGACCTGTACAGCCACGGTAGCCTGTGGCCTGACTTCCTGACACTCCCTCCAGGTTTAGGTCGAGACTCCGCCCCCCATCCTGTCCCTGGCCTTGTAAATGCCCCTTGTAAATGTGTCAGTCTGTGACTGAGCCAGCAATCCCTTCTTAGTTCCTGGATAGCAGCACACCTGTCCATAGGCCTCACCACAGTACCTGGAGGGACCCTGGCCTCTGACACTCATGGAGTCATGATCACACAGGCAAGTGGTGATCCTGTCCGTGCCCCACTGAGGGACAAAAGAAAAATGCCGTGGAGACCTGTCTAGGACTTTGTAGTACAAAGACGGCACAGATCTGTCCTTCAAGCTCCTAGCGCCACACTGACTAGGAGGAGCCCCTCTTGGCCTTGCAGAGCCTGGGTGGGCTGTGGTCTTGGATAGGAGGGGGCTTCGAGTCTTTTCCCCATGCTAGCAGCCACTCTGAACTCTGAGCGCCCGCCCAGCCCAGATCTGGCCCCTGAGTTCTGCACACAACCCAGCGTGGACTCTGCAGGTGGGAACCAAAACTCAGGGAGGGGGATTACATGCTTACTGTCACACAGCTATGTCACACAGTCAGAGCATTTGGGTTTGGGGGCCCAGAACCCTCCTGCAGGTCCTCTCCATACTTCCTGAATTGTCTGTGGTCCACTCCTCCATGAAAGAATGAATGATTAAAGAGATCATCCACCATGTTGGGGACACTCAAGGCAAGAGCCATGTGGCCTTTTCTTCCAGCTGCCTAGCCCAAGACAAGAGAAAGACCAAAAGTTCATAAAGGCTGGGGCTGCCATTGGCTCTTCTGGGGGGCGGGGTGCTGGGATACAAGACCAGCTCAAAGGAGAAAGTGCGTATGGCCCTGGTGACCCCGAGACCCCTTCTCTCCCTGGGCCTCAGTTTCCCCTCCAAGAAAGCTGTTGTAAGACGGAGGACTCTGCCTCTGCACAGCTCACTTCTAGACTAGAGTCACTTCCAGGCCTGGACAAAGAGTGGCACTCGGTGAGGTACCAGTCACTCCTAACCAAGGTCACAGCCAGGATCCTGGGCTGATCCTGCTCTACTGCTAGTAGCCCGGGCTTGTGTTTTATTGAGCACTGCCTGTGTGTTGGAATGGTTTGAGATAATGCAAGTATTAAACATCATTAATCTTTACCCAAGCGGGAGGGGTTATGTCTCTCCCCCTCAGACATAGAGAGGCAGAGATCCTGAACAAGGCCGCTGGAGCCAGGGGTCTGAAAAGCTGCCCCTACCTTGGGTAGACCGGCTGAAGCTTTGGTTTTAAATCACAATACGCCCTGTCAGGCATTCATTCACTAAGTGCTTACTGGTTGGTGAGAGACAGCATAGAGAAACCTCTGGAGATAGGCAGGGTTTTCCTGTTCCGGCCACAGTGTGCAGTCCCACCGGCTTCCCTTCCTTCCCTCTGTCGCCCCCTCGCCTCTCCTGGTAAGATTCGGGAGGGCAGAGGGCAGAGGGCCAGCGCGGTGGCCGGGCGGGCAGAGCCCTGCCAGGGTGTCAGGTTTCCTGGTCAGCCACCTTCGCCCCTGACCAGTCCTGTCTTTCCAAAACAGAACATTCAGTTACGGCCTGTCCCCGGGCTCCGCCGCCCTTGTGGCCTGACCTCGCTTCCTGCCTGCTGCCCTGGGCTTTCCCAGTACCGTGCCACTTGCTGACACCTCACCCACCGGAGAATGGAGTAGGAAACCGGCAAGGGAAGAGGCTCCACCGAGAGGTGGGCAGATGCTGACAGAGAGGCAGAGAGCAAGAGACAGGGGCAGAAATGATAGAGCAGCCCACCGTACCCTGCTGCCCAGGCTACCCCTGCAGCCTTGTCTCCTTCAGCCCCTCCTCCCTCCAAGGCTTCAGCCCTTCCTCCTAACACCCCCCTGACTGCGTCCTGATTTTCACCCAGGGCATTCACTTAACCAGCTCCTGATCATTCCTCCTCCTCCAGGAAGCCCTCCCTGCCTGCTAAGGACCACACTCTCCGCTCTCAGAGCCACCATCTATCCGAAGCTCCACCTCCTCTCCTGGGCATCCACCTCTTAGGGGGAGACACCACACCACCATGCTCAACCGGCACCGTCCCTGGTACACAGGGGCACTCGGTGAATGCTGGAGCTCACAGCTATCTGTGTTCCAAGATGGAGTGACTGTGTGAGTTAGGGTCTGCGTCCCCTCTGGTCCCAGGAAGGCATGATGAGTCTGTTGTGTCTCCTGTTTCCTCAGTGCCTGGCAGAAACACTGCCACAGGGAATGAATGAATGAACAATGAGTGGGTGAATAAACGAAAGAGCACAGATCTGTAGGATCTGAATCATGTTTTCACCTGTCTACATGAGGTTCAAGTGCTCGATGTTGTCCTTCAAGTCTGCGTCCAGGCCCCAGCCAGGGCCCCTGCCGTGCCCGGGCGTCCTCAGCCAGGGTCATAAGTCATGTCACTGACTTGTTTTCATGGTCAGCAGCACTGTCAAGACAAACGGAACATAGTCACATAAACAACCTCAATGTCACCAGTGGACCTTGGTCACTGTGGGACAGTCTCCAAGGCCGGCAGGCAACTGCCCAGGCCTTGTCCTGGGTTCTGGTCTCGACGCCCTGCCCCCTCCTCCCCAGGACTGGTAGATCAGTAGGGCCCCTGAACCAGGACTGTCCTGTCTTGCAGAGGTGGAGAGAGGGGCCTAGGGACCCTGGGGGTGGAATGGGATGCAGAACAGACCTAGCTCATCACTTGGTTTGAACTGGGCCCTACCTCTAGAAGCTTCCTTGGTCAGACTGCTGCTGTGTTCAGGATTCAGCAGCTGGGATTGTCCCTCTATGGACTCAGATAAATCAACAGACACCTAATGAGTACCCCATGCCCAGGGCCTGCTCTGAGCCTCTCCATGGCCATCCTCTGTGGTGGGGACCAATGCCACCACCCTTTCACAGAGCTCATAAAGTCACTGAGCCTAGGTCACACAACAGAGGAAGAGGGGGCAAGATTGCACCCAAGCTCAGTGTGAGTCCAGAATCTGTAGTTCAGGGAGTCTGTCTCCCCAGTGACTCCGGGGTTCAGGGAATCTGGCTCCCCCCTGACTCTGACCATTTTGGGAAGCAAGGGAGGTTGCTGGGGACTGGCTGATCAGTCTCCAGTTGGTTCTAGGCCCCTCTCCTCACCTCTGACCCAGAGATGGCAATATCACTGTCACCAAGTGAGTGGACCTACTCGGTGCAGAGCCCGCATGGCCAGACTTCCTCCCGCTCCCTGGTGCAGACAGAGACTAGTCCTCGCCTTCTGACACAGGGCTGCGATGGCAAGGGGGACAAGGCCACAGGCCAGAGTCTATGCCAGTTTGTAGAGGCAAGACGAGAGCAGATATGCTACCCTGAGGGAGTGCCCACATGCATTCTCAGACATGGACCACCTCGACGATGAGGGCAACGTGCCCAGAGCACTGTCTGAGCAGGGTTCCACCTCACACTCTCACCTGTGGGGTCCTGGCCCAGGGAGTGTCTGCCCTGCCACTCAGCAACGTCCCTGGTTCACCCAGTGTGGACCAGTTCGGTCTCCAGACATTGCCTAAGATCCCTGAGAAGAAAACAGCCCAGGCTCAGCCCTTGGGTTTAGAGCTCACTCTGTGCCGGGCGCGGCTGCCGCAGCTGGCACGTGCCACCCCCAGTAGCAGCTCCTGGGAGGGGAGGCCTTTCCAGCATCTGCCACAGACACTAGTCCACAGGAGCGGCAGGGTCACAGAGTGATGGGACCTGTGGGGCGTCCTAAGCGCCTTCTGCGGGCCTCTGCACACCCACACCCTGCTGTCTGTGACTGGAGGATATGCCATTTCTGCCTTTCCCACACGGCTGTCTCGGCTCACTGCAGGGCTGAGCTCACATCGTGAACTACATCTAAGAGGACGTATCACTGCCTGCCATTTCTTCCTCCCTCCCTCCTTTCCTTCCTCCCCTCCGTCGCCCACCCCCATCTCTCTTCCTTTCTTTTTTGAGGCAGTGAGTCCTTTCCTTTGGGAAATTAAGTTTACCCGATTAGGGAAAGTCTATAACATCACCAAAGAATAACCTATAAATCATTAAAAGAAGGATTGTAAAGTCAGGAGCAGAAAGAAAAACAAATATTGTGTCACCTTAAAGGCCAGTTTTCCCTTTGGTCACTTTTTGAATTTTGAATCATTTAAAAGCTTCTCTTTATGTTTTTGGGTGTTTTACCAGCATGCCTGTCTGCGCGCTGCATGTCTGCATGTCTGCACGCTGCACGAGGATCTCGCGTCTGCAGAGGACAGAAGAGGGCTCTGATCCCCTGGAGCTGGAGTTACAGACAGTTTGGGATCTGCAAAGCGGGTGCTGGGAAGTGAACCTGGGTCCTCTGCTAGAGCAGCAGCTCATGCTCTTGCTGACAGAGCCATCGGCTCTCCAGATCCCATTTTGAAATTGTATTAGAAAGCTGCAACCATATTTATACGAACCCCCCAAGCCCTTTTGTTCCCCAAAATATACAGTGGTGCCATGTGATTAGGATCTTCGTAGACATTTTAATTGTCACTGGTTGTGTCAAGGCCTCTGTTGCTCTGGTCTCCCTTCACACTAGGAATCCCAAGCTTTTGCTAGACTATGGGACAGTCCAGAAAAAAACTACACTTCCCAGCCTCCCTTGCAGCTATGAGTGAACTCGTGACTGTGTTCTAGCCAATAGACTATGAATAACTGCCACGCCCTGTCCTTAGAAAGGAGGTGTCTCTTCCTCGCCACCTCCTTCTGGCTGTCTGGAAGGCAAATGTGATGACTAGAGTCTGTGTGGCTATCTTGGGCCAAGGAGGAACAATAGGAAAAAGGGCCATCATTCCCTAATGACCTCAGGAAGCTATTCTGCCAGCCCCGGAACCACTTCTCCACTTTATGTAAGGGAGGAGCCGTGTTCGGGGAACATGACATCTGGTTATTTGGGGTTTTCTGACTGAGTGGTGACCTCAATCCTAATTGTTTTACTGCTGACATTTGTGAAGACTTGGCTTTAACATAACAGTTTCCTGTGTGGTGTGGGCAGGCCGCTCTAATTAATTCCACTGTGATCATCATCGCCCTTAGCGATTACTTCCTCTGCTCAGGACCCCGGAAGGACTGGTAGCCAGAGGACACAGACATCTCAAGGCTGTCACGCCTGTCCCCAGCGGCACCCACGGCGGTTCACCTTGCACCCAGGCTCCCAGCACGGACGGTCAGGGGACCTCAGTTTACATGGATTCCCGTCTCCTGTGAGCTCTCACAGCGTACACTTCTCAGTAATTCCTGAATATAGGATCCTCCGTGGGAAGTCACTTCCCATGACGGCCCAGTGTCTGTCAGCACCTCAGAGGCGATAAAAGCCATCACCCTTACCTGAGGAGCCTCAGCTACCAGGCCAGGTCGCGGGGAGGTCATGCCATGAACACCTCCAGCAACGGGGCACAGGGTCCTGTCTTCTGCTCCTGTAATTGTCCAAGTGGGAGAGGATGTGATCTAAATAGGGTTGCTGTGTCACTCCCCTCCCAAGGCAGAGGTCTCAGGGCAGCTGGAACTTCCAGGAACCCCACGCAGTGGAGGGAGAGGCCCTGGTGCCAGCATGAGGGAAGCTTGACTCTGAGAAAGTTCACACAGTCCTGACAACTTGTCAGGACCACTTACCACAGAGCCTGGAGCCAAACAATGGCTGCCCGAGGGGGCAGAGCCTGGACGGACTGAACAGGGAAGCCCAGCACGACCTCAGACAGCAGGGTTCCGACCCTCAAGCCAGCACCAAGGAGGAGGGTCAGAAAGAAGTCCAAGGTTGTCCTCAACTGCAGGCCGAGTATGACGCCAGCCTGAACTACAGGAGACCCTGTCTTAGAAGGAAAACAAGTAAATGACGGGCCGGCTGGGATCCCAGAGAGGATTTGGGGGCCCCTGGGCCTCTGAAACTTTTGCTCTTCCCAATGTGGCCAAACTGAATTAGCTGCTTCTCACTATGATTCTCTCTGGAATTGTCCTGTTAAGGCAGGTCACAGCCTCCAGACTTAGCCCACATCCCCCTGGGCTGGGTGGCCTCTCTGCCACCCTCCTATAGCTGGGGTCTCTGGTGAGAGGACTCGCTGTACCCATGCCACAAGAGCAGCTGGGAAAGTGAGTATTTTGGCATCTCTCGGGGTTGGGGAAACTCCCTTAGCGTGGGCCAGGTGCTGGAGGCCAGGAAGTGGGGCAAAGGTCAGGTCTCCAGGTAAAGGCCTGGCTGGGCCTGCAGAGGAATTTGGGGAAGGTTCCAGCTCCTTCCCTGTACCTGAACATCCAGTGTTACCTCTCTTGCACTGCAGTCAGAGACAGTGCTGAGAGGGGGGGACGTGTCTGTGTCACCCTCATGGTTCACCTAGCACTGCAAGGCTAAGGGGACAGGGCCTGGACCAGTTGGCAGCCTTCAATCAGCAGGAGCCTTGGCCTGCATGGGCGCCCAGGAGTTAAAGCAGGTGGACAGAGGCCATTTCCCTTCCGAAGTCCACTTGCATCTCCCTCAAGGCTCCAGGATTGGCCCTTGTCTGTTGGGTCTTCCTTCCATAGGAGAGAAAAGGGCAGGATACAAAGGAAGTCCCCAGCTGGGTGTAGTGGTGGCACAGGCCTTTAATCCCAGGCAGGGGCTGGCGGATCTCTGTGAGTTCAAGGCCAGCCTGGTCTACAGAGTGAGTTCCAGGACAGCTAGGGCTGTTACACAGAGAAACCCTGTCTCAAAAATAAAATAAATGAAAGAAAGAAAGAAAAGTCCCCAAATATTAACATACTATAGCGTCCTGTGCTATAAGGTCAGGCAGAAGGAATATCTATAACCAAACCGAAGATGCCAAGATGCCCATTTGGAACAGTGACTGGTAAATCCGCTCTGAGAAGGTAGCATTTGAGGAAAGGCCCAGAGAAGGTTAGGGTGTGAGCCCAGCAGCACTCCAGCGGAAGTAGGCTCTGGGCAAACGGGTCAGCCAGTGCAAAGGCCCTGCGGTAGGAACAGGTGTGGCACATGCCATCCTTGATGGGGCAGCCAGGGTTCTACACAGGTTCAAGACTCCCATGAACCGGGCTGGGGTGGGAGGGCTGCTCTTTACTCAGACTTCTGTGGAAAAACATGATGTCAAGCCTAACAGTAAATCTTGTCCCAGGGAACAATGGGCGGTGGAAGCAGGGGAAACTGTCAAGCTGGCCGGAGGCTGGGGCACAGAGGACCATAAGGAACTTATTAACAGTCTGTGTTTGAAAAGGCACTTCCCAGTGTGGGGCAGAAGAGGCTCTGCCGACTTCAAAGAGATGTTTATTGTGGTGGCCCCAGCGTGGGCATCAGA